ATATTTATCAGCATTCTAAATTTAGATTACGGATAAACTCTTTTGATATTATTGTTATTTATATGTATCTATTTAAGTAATATGGAAAATCTTGTTGTATTGTTTTGGTTATTTATTTATTTATATTGATAATCCTATTCTAATTTAAAAGTTGTTACCATATTTGTGTAAAAAATTGATTAACTTGTTTAGGTAACAAGGTGTACATGTATGTGCTTGTTTTTTGTCTTGCTTTTATGTGTTCATGTTTATGTGATAAGGTTTGAGATAGGTATGTTGTTTTGATAAGTATGTATGTTTAGACTGTCTTGTCTTTAAAGAGCTTTGATATCATTCTGGACCTTAATGTGACTGGAGTAACTTGATTTATCAAGTGAACTTAATTATTTTTTAGGTTCTTTATAGTGCAAGAAAGGTATTAACTTGCATTGGCCTGGTTATAAGTTATATAAAGTTGATATTGGCTCCCTTTTTCTAACTGTGAATTAGTTTTCAGGTTTCCTTTCTTTCTACTAAAAATTTTAAGAAAAAGAAGTAAAAAGTTAGTAAAATAGTATATACTTCTATCCTTGATGTTTTCGGATAGTTTTATATATATAGTTAAATATGTTATAAGTATTTGGTAGCTTGATCTAAGGTTTTGAATTTCTTTCTTGTATGTTTAGACTAGTTTATTTTTTTCAAGAAAATTATCAAAGAAGAAAATTTTTTTAAAAAAGGAGGATCAGCAAAAAGGGTTTTTTATTTAATTAAAAATTATAAATATTATAAATATTATATCTTAATATTGATTTTATTTTTAATATTTTTTTAAAATTTTTATATAATTTTTAAAGTTTTATTATTGTTAAAAATTTTCTTTCTTTATTAAATTTTTATTTTTAAATAATTTTAATTGATTGTTATTGTAAATCATATGATAATTAATAAAAAATAAAAATATTTAACAATAATAAAACTTTAAAATTATTTACAAAAATTTTTAAAATATATATATAAAATAAAACTTGTATAAAATATAATATACAATATATAAATTCTATAAATTTTGATTGTATAATTAAAAATTTAAAAATCCATAAAGATAAAATTTATAATAAAAACATAATAGGTAAATTTAAACTTTTAGAAGCAATTATATTTTTTTATTATTTAAGAAATTGAATTTCTTAATAATACCTTTATTTTATAATAAGATAAAAATTGTAAATTTATATAAAGATATAAATTTTTATTAATTATAATAATATTTTATAATTTCTGAATAATATATTTTTATTGTATTTAAAAAATCTAAGTTTAATATAATTTAAAAATTTAATAATTTTTTTGTTTAAATGGAATAAGAAAAAAATTTTATTTTAAACTTTGTTTGACTAAAATAATAAAAAAAAAAAGATCTTAATTTAAATAAATAATTATTTTTTTTATTATTTAAAGACTTGTTACTCTATTTTTATTAACTTTACAAATTTATTTTATTATAATTATTAATAATTTATTTATATTTTACTATTAATATATTTTATATTAATCATTTTTAATAAGATTTATATTATTTTAAAAATTAAAATTCAATTAAAATAAATAAAATTTAAAATCTAAAATTCGTAAATAAAAATATTTCAAAATTTAAACTTATATTTATTTATTTATTTATTATATAAAATCTTTGTTAATATCTTTATTTTAAAAAAAATTATACCAAATAAAAATAATTTTTTTAATAATATTATTTTTATTTTACCATCTTTCGATACCTCTTAATACTCCAATGTCAAGAGCCGGTGACTTCAGTAACACCTAAAAGAGTTTGTAGCTACGAAGCCTAAGAACTCTTGTAACTCATTATTAGACAGAAGTATTGATGCGATTTCATAGAGTTAGAATCAATATTGGATTTTTGCCATTCGACAACAAACTCTCAATGCATTATAGAAACTGTCTAGAATATGAAGATAACAAAGAATTTTTTAGGACAAAGAGAAGTTTTCAATTTGTAAGGCGCCAAATAGTTATGGGATAAAGAGCATTTAATTGCGCATAAAAAAAAAAAAAAAAAAATTTCACATGATCGATCATTTTTTTTTAGCGATCACTTGTAATTCCGCATCGGGGAATTGAACCCCGGCCTTCCCGGTGAGAGCGGGAGATCCTAACCACTAGACTAATGCGGATGATTACTTAAACTACTTTGTTTCCTAAAATATATATGACGATTTAGTTTATATACACCACTTTTCAACCCCAAGCCCGTTCATTTGCTCGTGTGACGGAACACAGAACGTTCCAAACGTGTTTACGAAATTCACGCATGTACTTATGATCAAAAAAGACCTTTATGCATATTACATAACTATACAATACATTAAAGTAGAATGACTAATAAAACAATGCATGGACATCAATCATTTGAATTCACCACGCCACCACCTCGTCTGTTCTTAGCAGCCAAAGCTTCACGCCAAGTCTTTCTCAAGATTTCAATCGCCATGTGATCATCTGCTGAGAAACCTTTCCTAATACAGTCATCTTTCACTTCAATGATACAAATCTGGTTTGCTTGAAGAAAGTGTCGCTGCATATCCAAGGCGAACCAAATATTATTTACAGGCATCCCCCACTAAAAAAAAAAAGGAAATAAGATCAGCAATCACAATCATTTGAATTTCAATAACAAATGTTGAATATCGTTCCAACCGTTTTAAGAGAGAACCATCCTAAGTTCAATTCTTCAAAGGTTTCAATTGAAGTAATTTCGGTGAGAGGGATAGTAATTGGTAATGGTATTGGGAAGTAATAATATTTGATGGTTAGATGAGTGGCGGTTATGTAAAAGTGAGAATCGATATAAATTATCTCGTCTGATTTCTCAGGCTCAACAGGTTCAACAGGTTCAACGTGTTCAGCAGGTCCAACGGATGTCGACATTTTTTTCAATTTTGTTTCCCAAGGTGAAAAATATGGGCCCTATTTATATGATAGTCATGGATCTGATGGTTCAAAGAACTCGTGATGTATTACGTAACTATACATTATAAACTTCGCAAAAATCCGGTTTCATCAATCCTTCTACAATGTTGTCTAATTCAAATGAAAGCCTCAACAGAGTAACGAGATCTAGACGAAATACTTTTTCTTATGGTGACAATAGTGGATCCCAACCATCGCAAGGACAAGTAATTGGTACCAGTTCTAACGAACTTGTTCCTTATTCAAAAGAGTGGACTGTTATCCTGTGAGTTTTAGAGGTATTCTTTGTATTTCAGTGCCGGAGGGATAAAGAATACATAGATCTTAAAAGTTTATCTAGCAACTTCTTCAAGACGCATTCTGCTCGCTAAAATAGGCCAGGCCAGTTGTAATTTAATTAAATAAAAAATTATAAATAAAATTTTAACAGTTATGCGTACTTGCATTCCAAACCGTTTTTATATAAAATCTTGGGGGATCATTTCATTTCAGGCGTAACGAAAACGTTGGTCAACTCGTACTTTACAATACAACCAACCGTCGAGTTTCTGTGAGACGGTTGCAGCGGAGTGATGCTTCCTCGCCAGTCCAGGTTGTTCATTAAAAAATTTTCATTAAACATTTATAAGGCGTCTTTTGAAATACAATTATTAATATCGCGTTTTCTTTCGTCATCAATAATGAAAAAGGCCTTATCTACGCCTCACGCTTGCTTTATATGCGGAAGGCTTTTTGATGCACCCCACACCGAGGTTTGTTGACCTCTTCAGACATGATTCTGATTTTTTGACCCATCTTGGTTGGAAAAAAAAAAAAAAAAATTTTTTTTTCTTTTTTTTTTTTTTAAGCCATTAGGACCAGACTTTATGGTTAGAAATTATTTTCGTTTACTAGAAAATTCGGAGGGGTTAGTCAAAAATCATGAATTTAATTCGACAATCATCAGCGTGTACTTATTAAAATTTATGTTCACCGTTTGTAAAGCTCAGATCTCGGCTCAAACTCAACAACGAGAGAATCTTCACCTTCATCATCGTCCTTTCCAACTTATAATTACATTTCTACAACGGGAATATCGTCATCATCAGGTCATGACGATCCTTCAACACTCTCGCAAAGTTCGTTTAATCAAGGATATTATGAAAGGTTTTTTGTTGAAGAAAAAAAATTGGGCAGAGGGTTTCGGGGATCTGTCTACCTTTGCAAGGTAATTCCTTAGATATGCGGTGTCTTTGAGAATGACCGAGAATGACCGTTGAAAAAGACATCATCCCTTACGCGAATTCTCACCTTCTCCTATGATAGCATGTTTTGGATAATGTACCGCTCGGCGAATATGCTGTTAAGAAAGTGGCTGTAGGTGAGAAAAATTGAATTCGTCATGGCCATTAATATCCACCGATGACCGACAATTCCATTCTCTATTACCTATCAGGAGACAACCATGCATGGTTGGCTAGGATGTTGAGAGAAGTTCATTTACTGGAAAAATTGCGCCATCCAAATATCGTAGAATACAAACACTCCTGGCTGGAATATCATCAGCTAACAAACTTTGGTAGGTTCCATCTTAAACCTAACGTTCGTCCTCGGAAAATTTTTTAAATTAACTCTTAATTTCAATAGGACCGAAAGTGCCATGCCTATTCATATTGATGGAACGCGCAAATGGTGGAAATTTAGAAGAATACATTGACATGCAACCGCAATTTTCTTTTCAGAAAGAAATTGGAGAAATGCTTTCACCGTTAGAACGAAAGCTTCGTGCTAGAAGGATGCGAAAGGCGGATCATAAACACGAAGAGTCACCGCCTACCAGCACGCCGCCCGAGTCCACTAAACGTCTTTTAGGGGTACATGAAATTTATTCCCTGTTTATAAATATTTGCGAAGGATTGGCTCATCTTCATCAGCATGGGATCATACACCGAGATTTAAAACCTTCGAATTTGTTGTTACAATATAATGATCCGAATCATCGGGTTGGCATGTTAGTTTATGGATTCTCCATGTTTCATTCAAGTCAGGTTCGCGATGATCATTGAGTTAATTGTTGTTAACATGCAATAGACCCCGGGTATTGATATCTGATTTTGGGGAGTGTGAAATGTTGGACCAACTCACCGATCGCGATAGAACCGGTGCGACTGGAACTTTGGAGTTCATGGCACCAGAATTATTAGCTGGTAAATAACAGGCTCATGCATGTGAATTGCGTAGGCATATATCAGACATTGAACCGGCCTCTATTTGATTCAGTGGACGACAGAGGATCATATCTTAAAGAATATTCCCCTAAATCGGATATGTGGTCACTAGGAATGGTCCTTTATTACTTATGCTATTCAAGGCTTCCGTATCGTCAGGTTGAAGATGTTGATCTGCTAAAATACGAAATCTTGCATTTTGAAAGGTTAATGAAATATTTGAAATTTACCCAATCCATTGTCGTATGTCCAATTAACAATGGTTGAAAAAAAATTTTTTTTTGATGATTTTAGTGTTCAATTTTCTGAATATGGCGAGTCCGTTCGAGCTGCTTCAAGCGGTCACAGAGTTCCCCTTCTCCTTCGGAATCTGATTACGCGTCTATTATCACGTAATCCAAGAAATAGACCGTCTTGTGAAGAAATTTTAGAATCCATTCGAGAGGTCAAATTAACCTTCAATGAATCTGTTAATGTTAGTCGAGAAACGTCTAGCGTAAATATATGCGTATACCCTTTTTCTAACTTAATTTACAATCGCCCCGATGTTTTAAATATAGGAATCTTTATTTACAGATCAATATCAATTTGAAATGTCATCTATGACTGATAATGAACCACGGATTTCATCTTCTTTGAATTCCCCCAGTTCAAGCGTGGAAATGGGGTTCGAATTTTCAAAACTGGTATGGATATCACCAAATTATCAGGCTTCTAATAAACAATGTTCTGGTCAAAATTGTTCTTATTCAAAAAAAAAAAAAAAAAAAAAAAAAAAAAAAAAATTTTTTTTTTTTTACCGAAACAGTCAGAAGATACCTTTAACGGGCATTCGAAAATAACACGGTCAGCCTCAGAATCTGAAGCACCATATTCAGAGTTGATGGATGAGGATGAACAATTGAATGACGATAAATTACGCAGACGGAGGATAAAAGATGAGATACATGAAATTTCGGGTGGTGAGACGTCACAATCGAACACGTATTTTAACGTTGAAAGAGAGATTGTGGTCGGGCAGAGTTCCTCGGTTATTAAGGTTCGTTCATGAATGATATCCAAAGAAGGTATTTATATACATCTCTTCATTCAACTTCTAGTAAATATGATATCAAATCTATTAAAGGATGGTCAGATCAATGGAAATTCAGCGGCCGTGGTTCGTTTGATGCCAGCATCTCGGGCATCGTATTTGCCGAGGGTCATATGTTCATATATATTCGAAAATGGGGGCCTCTGGAAGATAGTAAAACTTTCCATCTTTCTCCTCAAGGTATTATTAATTCATCTATGATTATAAAACGTTTTGCATGGTCTATTTCACGTTCTTATCTTTCGGATCATCAAATCAGGTCGCAACTTGTGTATCCATTTGCTCACCGTTTTTACCTTCACCATGGTTATTCTATCCAGTTCTAATACTTGCTGTACTGGATCTTTGGGTGTAAGTGATTACTTATGAATGCCATTGTCGTTTTCGTTGTTCCAGAACATTTTGCAATAGAAATGAGGGAACTGATCAAATTTCCAACTTTCTCGAGCTTAGGCAAAGGGGAACAACACATCTTATATTGGGCTTTGCACATATATTACTGGTGTCAACATTCGCCTTGAAAGGCAAATCATGTGAAAGCAAGACGGTACGAGAAACTCAAGATAGTATGTGGCCAGAATTATAAGTTTATGGCGTCCTTAGATTTGCAAATCGTTTAGCATATTTACATCCCGGAAACTCGACATTCTCGCAAAAATATTTTTGGATAAATGTTTGAAATTACATTAGCAATAACATGTCAAATCAAGAATAAAATTTTGGATCTTTGAGACAAGGCAACATTCCTTTATAAAAAACATTATTAAAATAAATATTACTTTAATTATGCGAAAATAAATAAAATATTAATTCAATTATACAGTATTAAAGTAATAAATGTTGTTTGAATTGTACAGAGGGTAGTGCAGAGAAAGAGTAGTGGCAGAAAATTGGTGATAAGTGATCGCTTCGAATAATTTATTCCGATAAAAATTCAGATTAACCCAGAGTCAAGAAGGATGCCAAAACATATTTCTTAATATTCTTTGATCATAATATTTGTTTTCATATTGCATGTTCAATTATAAACCAAGTTATATACAAGCAATTATCAAAAGTAGATGTAAGTTCTTTTATTTTAATATAAAATTGTCTATCTTTGTCTTTTATTGCTGACAATTTAAATTTGGTTGACTTTATTTTTTTTTAGTTACAATATATTAGATATAAACTTTTTTTTTTTTTTGGGGGGGTGAAAGGTGCTAATAGCACATGTTTATTGAGTATTTTATACCAATTACATGACTATAATGGTTCATCTAAGTTAACCCGCCCCTTCACCTTAGCCTTACCCGGATATACCAACTTACATCCAGAAGGTGGGTTCACATTCCAAGTTGGATCTTTAGAAGGTGAAAATCCTATCACTAGTAGATATAAACTTTTAATTAAATAATTAAATCCTTAATATTATATATTTATATACAGTATATCAATTGTCTTATATTTAATTATAATTAATAAAACTCTTTTTACTGATCCTCTGACCATACACAAAAAAGATGTTTGCAAGAAGTTTTTATACTTCTTTGCTAATAAAGTCTTAATATTTTTATTAAAACAACTTGAAATATGACTTCAAGAGTTGCCTTTACCCTTTTCCTTTTGTTTACAAACTTCTTCACTCAAAAACTTGACTTTTAATGATCAAAAAAAGTCAAGTAACACCTTTGATACCAATGGCAAGAAAGTTCTCAAAGAAAGAAGAACTGACTGTGAAGTACTTGAA